CCCTTTCCTGGAAGTCGGCTCTGACACAGGACACAACCCAGGCACGGCAGCGGCTCCCCAAGCTGCTCTCCGGGCCGTCCTCTCGCTGCAAGTGAAGCAGCCAAGCATGTCCCAAGCCCTGAAGCTGTCTGGCCCCAGCCCTGCTTTTATCAACGACACCATCTTTTCTATAGACCAGCAACTGGGACCAAGGGGCAGTTGGGATGGTTGAGGTCAGACAGCCAAGAGCTTTGCAAGGGCGACAAAGGAATCCCTCTTCCACTGCTTCGCAATGTATTTCCAAACATTTTTGTTTATTAGAAAGCCAGTTTCAACATATGGCTGCTTTTTTTGAAGATAAGAGGAAGCATGATTCACATGCCCAGCACCCTCCCCCAGCGTGGTGAGCGAGGAAGGGCACTGGTCTGGGATGAGGGGTTTGGGTTCTGGTTGTCTGCCACCTCCTGCCTTGTGTGACCAGGGCCCAGTCACATCTGAGAAGGGCTCCTCAACTACCAAGTGGGCCACTGGCCACCACCTACTCTACCTCCCATGGTTGTAGTAAAGAACTAAAGGAGACACAGGCCTTCCTGGCAATTTTCAGGGACCTGCCCCGTGAAAGAGTACAGGTTACCCCTGGCCGGTGTGCCTGTGGATGTCCATCCAGGACCTGAGGGAAGGAAGAAAGGGAGTAGGAACTGTCCACTTATTTTATTTTATATGTATTATTTATGTATAAAGGGAGCACAGGCAGAGTTAGTGAGAGAGAGAGACAGAGAGAAAGGTCTTCCTTTTGCTTTTGGTTCACTCCCTAAGTGGCTGCTACTGCTGGCACGTTGCGGCCGGGGCGCTGTGCCAATCCGAAGCCAGGAGCCAGGTGCTTCCTCCTGGTCTCCCATGTGGGTGCAGGGCCCAAGCACTTGGGCCATCCTCCACTGCCTTCCTGGGCCACAGCAGAGAGCTGGACTGGAAGAGGGGCAACCGGGACAGAGTCCGGCACCCCAACCAGGACTAGAACCCGGAGTACCAGCGCCGCAGGTGGAGGATTGGCCTAGTAACACCTGCCAAGCTGTCAGTTGCAGCATATGCAGCACCCAGCCTAACCCCTAGAGTCCTTGTACAGTGCAGATTAAGCTTCGTAAGTCCTAATCCAGAGATGAGGAAGTTGATGTTTGGACAACTGCAGATTTAAACACTGGTCTTCTGACTCCAAAATCTGTGCTCTTTCTTCTCTCTTGGCTCCTTCCTACTCCTCTTCCAACATCATTTTCACTTCTCAGATCATGCAGGGAGAGCCCTTGACCCATCATAATTAGGTCCAGCTCTAAAACTGTTCCAGGGATAATGACTTGTGACCTTGAACCTATATCTACTCTCCTGGACTCCAACTCACAAAGTCAGGCTGGAAGCAGCAAACCTGTCCAATTTCCCTGAGTCTGATCCAGAATGCTGTGCACTTGAGCAGAGCCCAGAACAGAGATGAGAATTCTGAAATGGAGCAGGAATGGGACACCAACTTAATACACCTCTGATTCAGGAGGATTGAACTGCCAAGCATCTTCCCCGCCATGGAAGCAAGACTAAACTCTCAAAAAGCACCAGGGCATTGACATGGGGCTCTGTGATATCTTCTGCACCTTCCCTGGCCAGGAGGAGTCCCTGAGAACTCTGATGGTGCATGGGAATGACATGGCTTGCAGAAGGCACCCAGCATTGTTTACAGTTGCTATGTTGCTCTTGGGAGTAGGAAGCAGAGGTAGTACCTTCCAGAAATACTGACCAAGCTGTTCTGGCTGCAACTCCATAGGGATTCCATAACACAGTTGTCGCAACAATGGTGCAAAGTTAGTCCTCACCCCTAAATATTGGGCCTCAACTCAATTCTCCACCAGCAGAAGATCAGGTTCACCTGTTGTCCATTTTCTTAGAATAAACGAAAACCTTTGAGGAAAGTGGCCACATGCATCAATATGCAGCGGCTAGTGAGTGGGGGTGGGAAAAGGGAACAGGGGTCCTCAAGGTTAGGACAGAGCCCCCTTGGCTGTGATCTGCTTAGCAAAGCAGTGGGTCTCCCTGTGCCTGTGCTGTGTCTCTCCCTGCACGTCAGACAATCTGGCTACGAACGTCAGGCTGCTCCCTTCACATCTCTGCTAGGGGCTTGCAGGGAGGAGGGATGGGGAAAGGGCTCCCTACTTAGAAATGGCATTGAGATGGAAAGACAATATGACACATCAGCTCATGTCAAAAGAGCTCATTCTTCCCGCCTACAGCATTAGCAATTTCCTACCAAGGTTCACAATTTTTTTAAAAAAATTATTTGCTTTTCATTTATTTTATTTGAAGCATAATTCAACAGGACATAACTGCTCAGAGCAGGGTGGGTTCCTCCCTAAGGACAGAGACTCGGGGTGGGGAACACAGGGTGTGCACTTTGGCTATTTCTCATGAAAGGAGGGCATAGGAGTGGGAGGTCCCTGGTGTCTGCCTCAAACCCCCTCTCATTCTGCTTCCCACTCCACCTCCATTCCCTCTCCCTGCTTCAAAGCAGTCTGCCCTGGGGGCCAAAGATTTGGGATGCTCCAGCCCTGGGCTGTGGATACAATGAGGGCAAGGGGGGGGGGGAGACAACAGAGTGGGGCATCTGGAAAACTACCCCCTTCTTCAGAACCACAGCGTCTGCTCTTTGAGTGCCTCCTGTCTCCCCTTCTCCTCCAGCTTCATTTAAAATCCTCAAGGGTTGTTGCTGGGAGAAGCCACAGGCAGCTCCTGCTCCAACTTCAGATAAGGACAGTGGAGCCCAGAGAGGGCAGGTGCCTTGGTGCACCAGGTCTGGAAGCCAGGCTTCCTGGTGCCCTGTCCAATGCCCTTGTTCGCCATCACTCCATACTGACCATCTCTGCTCCCCTTTCTCTCCTCCCAACCCCAACCCCAGACTCGGAATGGTGTTTGAAAGACAGGTTTGAGGAAGAAGAATTCTCCTTCTTCCTACCTCCTCCCTCTGGGTCTGGCCAGTCCCTGGAGCCTGAATTTGATGTTTTCCCAGGGAAAGAAGGATGTATGTGTTTTGCAGGTGGGTTTGTAAGGTCTGGAGAGGAAAACTTCCATCTTGACGTGAGGATTTTTTCTACGTCCTGACTGATTATATGATCATAATGGTTCCTGGAGGCAGGGGTAGAAATGGAGAGGACAACTAGGCTGAGACCTTGTCTCCATGTAAGAAAAAAGTACTTCTTTGTGTCTCTCTGGGAATGCATGTGCCTTCACAGATCTGCTGCTGCATCTCTCCCTGCATCTCCTACAGTTGTATCTCTGTCTCATCCTCTGCCTCTGTGTTTGCATTTTTCTATTTCTCTTATCTCTGACTCTGTTTCTTTGTCTCTCATCTCTGCCTCTCTCACACACACCCTCACTCCCACACTCCAAATCCAACAGCCACTGACTGATCTGGGGCCCCTTCCTGCAGCCCTGTCAAGGCGGAACATCCTTTGCCCTGTTAGATTGAGAAACACCAGGTCCAGAGCTGCTGCTGGAGCATCAGAGATGCTGCAGAACCGCCTGCCGAGTGTGGAGGTTGAATCCGGGAACAATGAGAAATTATCTGTTAATTCTCGGCTCCTGCCACCTGCTCTGCTCCGAACAGGCTCCTTTGCCTTCAGTTTAAATGCAAATTCCCCCACTCGATGTAAGCAAAATATTGATTTCCCTGCATCACAGGCCTGGGCCATTGGAACAGTCCCGTGTTTTTTTTTTTTTTTTTTTTTCATACTCTGCAAAGGCAAAACAAGGCGCTTTGTTCTGTGAATTTCCCCAGGAACTCGAGAGGGGGAGGGAGAAATCGCCGCGGAGTGACAGAGTTGCCATAAACACGGGCAGAGAGCAGTTCGTCTCCATTTCTATTTTACATAAACATGATCCCGTGGCTTCCAAAACTGCTAATCAGCATGTGGCCAGGGGCCTCCAGGTTCTTGTCTCTCTGCAGTGGATGGTGGATGGGGAGTGAGGGGGCCCCTGGACTCCTCAGGTGGATTTTTAGGCAAGTGGAGATGCCAGAACCTCATCTGATCTTGGAACTGCAACCCAGAGCCACTCTCAGGAAGGTGGCCTGGATTGCATCCTGTCACTGGGTAATACCTCCACCTGAATTTTCAGACCTCACAAAAGGCAGGTGCCAGGGGTCTGGGTGGAGGCTATGAACCTGCATAATTGGGCAGTCTCCTAGCCCAACCAGGTGTCCACGTGATAGTTGCGCCAACTGGATCTTCAGCACCACGGACAGATCCAGGGCACCCATCCCAGGAGGAAAGCCCAGCCGGCAAAGCCAGGGTCCTATCGTGTCTCGGCTTAGCCTTTGGTGCCCAGAGCACTCTCTGCCCGGGGCTTGTAAGTCCAAGGGCTGGCAGGTGCAGCTGGCACAGATGGCACCCTGTGGAGACTGCCGGGAGCTGGGGCCCGGAATCTCCTCCACTCAGAACGTGAGTCACTGCCCAAGCCACTTCCACTTAGTGCGTTAATTAGGAGGAAAGACCCTCCTTCCCCCACCAGCCACCTGGGCACACAGGAGCTCTGCAGCTTCTGGGGCTTCCTGCTGAAGTTCCCCTCTTGTCTCTGGGAGCTTCAGGTGAGCCCATGGAGGAGGGGCTTCGCAGAGGACAGGTGGAGTACCTGACAGTGCTAGTGCCAGCAGTGGCTCACAGATTTCCAGGAGTGAGGGCAGAGCCCAAAGACCCTCCCCCGACCTATGCTCCTGGGCCCCACATCCCAGGGCCATGGTGTTGGGGGGAGGCTCATCTTCAAGTCTAGCCTCAAGCCTTCTGTTTGGCTTCAGGCCTACTGGCCCTTGTGGTGCCCAAGGATCTCCAGAGGTGTGGCACTGATGCGGAGAGGTGGGTCGGACGGGAACTGAGCGTCCTCTTCAAATGCCCCCCATTCCTACTAGAAACTTTCGCCCTCCTGTTGCCATGGAGAGAGACGGCCGCGGCCTCCTGTCTCCATGGCAACGTGCGGGTACCACGGACCGCAGAATTGCGGGGCTCAGAAAGTCCTTGCACAGTTTGCAGGGCCCAGAAGACCTGGGGGTCTTCCACTCAGGAATCCGAGACTCAGGACACCTCTGACCAACTCCTCCCGTTGAGGACCTCGGTCTGGTCCTCCCACTCCCAGCCGGGATCCCCCTCATTCGCCTGGGGGGGGGGGTCCTGTGTTTTTGCGCCACTCGTGTGGCAGGAGACAGTTCACCCAGTGTCTTCCTAAACACTGCCTGGGTAACTCGAGGGAGCCGGAGAAGCGCTCATAATCATACCTCTTTTCTGGAGAGGCTCGGCGATGCCCAAGGCCGCACCAGGCAGGGTTTACGGAGCCGGACCCCGGTTCCTCCCCCTGCCTTGTACTTTCCAAGATGCGGGGCAGCACCCTCCGACCCCCAGACCTCCCTGCTCCTCGGTCCCCGCTTCTAATCCGCCAAGCCTCGGGCAGGTCCCTGAGCGGGGGTGGGGGGCGGCCGGGAGGCGCCAGACAAGCCAGCTGCCGCGGGATGCCACGTGAGGGGCGGGGACCCTGCGGAGAAGTGATTAAAAGCAGCACAGAGCCGCAGGGGGCCGCTGTGGGCAGGGTCTTCACCCGGCCGCCTTGCCCCGCCCCAGTCCGGCCGCGGCGCGGGTTCAAACGGCTGCGGGGCAGGCCTGGGTGTCCCGGGCATGACCGGCGTGTGGGAGGCCGGGGGGCCCCGGTGCCAGGCGGCGCTCGCGGTGCTGGCTTCGCTGTGCCGGGCCCGGCCGCCCCCTCTCGGGCTGGACGTGGAGACTTGTCGGAGCTTCGAGCTGCAGCCCCCGGAGCGCAGTCCGAGCGCGGCCGACGCAGGTACCGAGGGACCCGGGACCCTCCCCTTCCTGGATCCTTACCCTGGAGCCTCCGACCCCTAAAGCACCGGCCCCGAGGACCCCGGGACCTAGAAGGAACTCCGGCTCGGGATTCTGGATTCGCGGAACCCTCCTCAGCCAGCCCTTTGGCCAGTAGCCCGCAAAGCAAGGGGTGATGCGAAGGGGACCTAGGTGACACAGCTCGCGGTCCCTCTCGTGGGACCCCTGCCGAACCCCCCCGCAAAGCTGAGCTCCGGGGACGCGGTGCCCCCTGAGCCTCAGTTTCCCTCCCTCGCTTCTCTCCGCCGGCGACCTGTCTGGGGAAGGGTCGGCGCACCGAGTCCATCCCGAGCTAAAGAACGCGTGTGTCCTCGGGGTGCCTCGGTCCTGGGTTTATCGGCCGGTCGGTCCCGGGTGGCATGTGGTCTCATGGCCCGAGTTTCTCGTGGGTTCGTAGCTTCTCGCGATCCCTCATGCCGTGTGTCCGATAGATCTTGCGTTTCAGCCATGTCCCATGGTCGGAATCTACGGTAGAGTGTCGCGGCGTCCTCCCCCACCCCCCGCGCCCCTATAACTCGCTCCCGCGTCTCTGACTCACTCGGACTCGAGGCCGGTGCGCGACTGAGCCGGTGCCTCTCGCCGACTTTGCCAAGAAGGCGCCTCCTGCTCGAGCCGCGCGGACCCTGCGCCGGGCGCAGCCCACAGCGGCCGCCGGGTCTAGGCGGGAGCCCGAGCCGGGTCGAGCTCGCCGGAGCCGGTGAGTCCCGAGCCCGAGCCCCGTGGGGCCGGGGCCCGGCGCGCAGCGGCGACGTCTCCAGGGAGTCGCGACAGCGGCAATGGCGTGTCGCGCCCTGGCGGCGGGAGCTGCGGAGGGTCGGCGGCGTGGCGGCCGGCCGGCCCCGGGCGTATACCTGCTGCACCACGCTCGCCGGCCGCAGCGCGGCTCCTTTGTCCTGGTGTCTGGAGGGACCTGGGCAGGAGAGAGTAGGGGGTCGCGTCCCCTCCGGGGGCCGGGGGTGGGGGAAGGGCCTGGGGGCACTGAGAGGCCTGGAGAGAATGCGGCGTGGGGGTGGGGAGGTCCCGCCGGGACCAAGGCGCCGGGGCTCCTGGAGGCTCCGCAGGCTGCACCCCTCCTTGTCCCTCCAGCCTTGCTGGGCTTAGGGGTCTCCGGGAGTCGCCCCGCGGTTTCGCACCGCTGGAGCGGGAAGGGGAGGAGGGGGCTGCGAGAGGCGGGAATTCGGTCCCTACGGGGTTCCCCAGGGGCCAGAAGCCAGGGGACAAGGGAGGCGGTTACCGGAGCAGGTACAGGTAGGGTAAGCGCCCCAGCGTCGGCAGATTCTAGGGCCCTGTTGTCACAGGAGGTTAAAGGTCAGAGGTAGAGGTGGATTCTGGGTTAGGGAAGGGGCAGAGGGTCCAGAGGACGCTTGCCTGTGTGAGGGGCCGTGTCCTGCCCTGCCCGGTGGGTGTAGGGCGCGCTGCTTTCTCTCCGGCCCTGACAGCGTTTCATCTGTCAGTGGGTTGATTACTGCAGCAGAAGAGACTGAGGGTAGACATAAAAAAGAACTTTCAAGGGGCAGTACTGTAATGGAGGTTGTGGAGCTTGATTTTCCCTCGTAGAGATTGTCAGCGCACGTCAGGCCCAGCAAATATTATCAGACTGGTCCTCTGGACACCACCCAATTCCCCGTACCCACCAGTCACAGCTTCCCCAAGAGAGAGTCACCTCCTGTTTCCCCCGACTCTCCTGCTCCCTTCTGTCTTTTCCTCCAACAAAACATCACCAGTGCTGGTCTGGATCCCTCAGAGCTTAGAAGGTGAGACAGGTGAGACACACCTGTGGAGTTTCACCTGGGTGAGAAGCTGCCTCTCCTGTCTGCCCAGGGCAGAGGTGTCGGGGTGGGGGTGTTGCTGGAGAGTGTTGCGGGTTAGTATGTGTGTAGCACATCCTGATGGGGGCTTGGGGGCGGCGCTGGCCAGCGGGATGCCCCTTCCCCTCCACCACAGGCTTGGATGGCCAGGCGGAGGGTGAGAGAAGCCTGAGGGGCGAGAGCCAGCCGGCCCTGATGAATCAGTATGCCTGCCCTACAGGCTGCTTTCCGAGGCAAGTTTGAGTTGTCAGCCCTGGGGAACTTTAACTTTGGCTGCTGAGTCACAAGCCCCAGGAAGCCTTGGGGCCAGGCTGGAAGACTGAAAGGGATAGGAGAGACAGAAGGAGATTCTTAATCACAGCAGAAGAAAGTGGTTGAGGGTGGCTTTGGGACCTTGAGAATCTGCGTGAGCACAGGGTCTGGAGAGATGCTGTGGGGTTCAGGATTTTCCCACTTCCCAGCCTGCTCGTTGGCATCCCAGATCCTTGTTTCCTGAAAAATATCCAGCTGCCTTGGCCCTTTCGTTCCCCCTGCCTTCTTCTTGCTCCAAGTCTCTAGTAACGCTGAGAGTCTTGGTCAAGATCCAGACTCCACTGTTGTTTACTGAGCCCTCCCTACCTGGCAGGGTCTGTGCTAGGAATTGCACCAGAAACCTCAGTTAATCGGACCCAGACTTGGAAAGAGCTGTACACACAAACTGTCCCAACTAAAAGCGAGCTGCCTTGTGCTTCAAAAACTGTAAAGGAAAAGGGTCCGCTTTCCTCTATTTAATAACCTCCCCCTCAGCCCCACAAGTGGACACTGTCAGTTTGCCACCTTTCTTTGAGGCATTGGCCCTGGAGGTGAATGAACTTTTTCCATAGGTCAAGTTGCATCGACTTGGGTGTGGCTGGTGTGTGATCTGGGCTTACAGGGTAGTAAGCAGATGTCCAGAGGTGTTCCAGAAAATGCAGGAACCTGATGGGCGATACCAAGCTGCCCGACCCCTCCCATGCTCACCCTCCAGCTGACCCATTTGCCAGGAGATGTGATGTTTGTGGGCTTCGTCCATGACTCTGTTTTGTGGTTCAGCTATCTGGCTTGGGAAGTTAGTTTTTTGCAACAGAGATGAGCTTTTTTTACTTGCTTGAGTTGGCAAATTAATGTACAAGGTTTTCTTAAAATACAAAGCTTCCATAGCTGAACAATCAGCTACTCCTTTTCGCCTTCTTTGTGGCGTTAGCACCCATAGAGCTGATGTTCCGACTCTAGTGTGTTCTGAGCGTTAGGATTCTAGAAGCAAAGTCTAGTACCTAGGAGTTGGAAGTCCTCTTCACCCTGTAAGGGGGACTTAGAGTGAGGTGAGCCCTCTGGTCTCCTCTATCCCTCCAAACTCTACAGCGAAGATATGTTCTCTTCTAAGGGTTTTGTGTGTGTGTGTGTGTGTTTTGTTTTTGTTTTTTTGTTTGTTTGTTTGTTTGATAGGCAGAGTGGATAGTGAGAGAGAGAGACAGAGAGAAAGGTCTTCCTTTTGCCATTGGTTCACCCCACAATGGCCGCTGCGGCTGGTGCACCGCGCTGATCCGAAGCCAGGAGCCAGGTGCTTATCCTGGTCTCCCATGCGGGTGCAGGGCCCAAGCACTTGGGCCATCCTCCACTGCACTCCCGGGCCACAGCAGAGAGCTGGACTGGAAGAGGAGCAGCTGGGACAGAATCTGGCACCCTGACTAGAACCCCGTGTGCCGGTGCCGCAGGTGGAGGATTAGCCTATTGAGCCATGGCGCTGGGGTCTTCTAAGGGTTCTAACTGTGCTTTGCCTGCCTTGTCTGCAGAGTTGGGGGTGAACCATACCCTCCAAATGATTAGGACTGGCCGTGAGGCACATGGGTCAGGCCAGGTTTCTCTGGGGTCTGTGTAGGAGTGGGGCGGGTGCTGGGGGAGCAGAGTAAGAGAAAGTCCTGGCCCAGCTAGCTGGCACCTCTGCTAGTCCTGCTTAGGAAGGACACCTCTAAGGTCCTGGCCACACCCGGGAGCTGCACCCAGAGGGTCTTGGCAGTAGGTGTGAGCAGGGCAGCCACAGCTGGGTGCCGTGGGTCATGGTGACCCTGCATGGCATTCCCTTCTGTCTTCCGGGGGCGAAGGGGTCTCTCTCTGCCTGTTGGTCCTGTCACTAGTTGCAGGGGTGAACAGGAAGAGGAGCACAGAAGGCAAAGGCTCTTTCTGGCTTCCTGTCTGCTCCTCTCCTCCACTGCTCCGGCCTCCATCCCACATGCACAGGCCCACGTGCCCTGGCCAATCAGACAGAAAGGTACAGCTACCATCTGCCTAAATCATAATATTAATAATTGCGAAATTAGTGCCAAGGCCCTGTGAGCTATAACACCCCACATTAGTGTCCCATTTATCTCCGAGTCCCCTAATGACGGCAGAAGCGGGCCGAAGTCGTAAAGCTTGGTGCGGCCGTCATTAGTGCGGCATTGTCTCTCCTCATCACGGCCTTTCCAGGAGCATTAATGCCTTCTCTGTTTGGGCTCTGTTAATTAGCCTCATCGGTAGCTCAGCCTGGATATCTGAAAGAGGCAGAGGCAGCAAAGGCCCCCCTCCTCCCACCCCTGAAATTTAATTACACCCAGCTCTCCTAATGAATTTCCAAGCCATGGCAGAGCTTGCTGTTAATTGACCATGTCTGTGAGCCTCACTCCACACAACCCTTGTTCTCCCAACACACGCATGTACACACACACTCACACAAGGGCTCCCCAGGTGCATCTCTGGTGGAACTTTTCCGTGGGCCCCCAGTTGTTTGCTGGGTGGCTGGCGGGGAACCTGCTGGGTCTGCACTTTCCAGAGAAGAAAGATGGGACAGAGGGGTTGAGTCTCCAGGTTCAGAGGGTCAGGCCGAAGAGTGGTGGAGGCCCCCGCCCTCTGCAGAGTACAGCTAACCAAAACCTCAACCACCCGTCCCCATGGATACCTGGTTCAAGAGCCTGGACTTTGGCCTCGAAAGGCCTAAATACTTAATGCTCTGTACCCTTGCAGTAATTATTACTTAGTTAACATTCATGCACTTGATTTCTTTGTCCCAGAGAGGTGAGTACGTTTCTTACGGTTGCAGTGAGATAACATAAGGGGCACGATGCTTACTGGGTAGAAA